ACCACAATAATATTTTTTTTTATATATTATTACTTATTTTTTATTATATTTAAAATTATTATTATATTATTATATATTATTATTATACATGTTGTAATATTCTAAATAAAATAATTAAAATATTTAATTTATACAATTCTACTTATTTTCCAGAAAATGAACCAAACACACAAAAATAGTTTTCCAGAATGCAACCAAACATCGGAAAGGAAAATGCTTTCCGGAAAATGACTCATTTTCTAGAAAACATTTTCCAGAAGTCATTTTCATACTTTCCAAACGGACCCTTAGGATATATGTAGATGGCAAATTGGTTAATTTTAACTCATTACCTGATGGTAACTACTTGTAAAAAGAACTAATTGCATTTTTTTAAAATTTATGTGCCTAAATTGAAGTTTTTTGTAGTTGAAGGAGCTAATTACACTTTCATTTCATCAACAGTTCAAAGGGTCTATTTGACCCTTATCCCAAAAAATTATAATTCTTAACTTTCAGCAAAATATAAAAAATATAAAGTATTTTCTAAATAATATATTATTTTATAAAAATTATTATTATTTTTTCAAATTTGTAAAAGGACCCTAAAATATTTTGCTAATCTAAATTGGCAGAAACAAGATCCCACAAAACGACTTCATGATCTAGTCAATATGTACTATGGCTAACATTGATGTTGCTAACATTTCTTCTACCCATTTTGAATCTTAGGGCAATCCCATTTGTAGATTTTAGGAGATTTTTTTAGAAGTAAAAATTGTGAATGATTTTTTAACAAATGGGGAGTTGGATGTTTGGTAATTTTATCTCCTGCAAGTAGGGTTGCAAAAATCGTGAAATCGGCGCCTAGGCGCTAGGAGGCCGCCGCGAGGAATGGCCTCGGTGGCCTCCTACGCGGCCGGCCGGTTCGGCGGTTCGATGAATTTTTTTTTTTTAAATGTCGGAAAAGATTCGGAAGGCATAACTTTTGACTCGGTTGTCCGATTTGGACAAATTTTTTTTTTCAAATCGCGTATTTTTTCGAGATCTATACACCGCAAACAACCAAAGGCGGTTTGGTCCACTAATTTCTCAAAAAATGCTTCTTTAGCTCTTAATTTTTAGTTTTTTTTTTATGTATTTAGATGGTTTAAACAATCTTTTGAACAATCTTACAACCACTTTTGTAAATAGTTTCTAAGAAATAACTATGAAAACCTTATGTTTTAGTACTAAATTTTGAAAATTTTTAATTTATAATTTTTTTAATTAAAAAAATAAAAAATAATAATAAAAATAATAAAAAATCGGCGCCTAGTCGCCGATTAATCGGCAATCGGCGCCTAGGCGCCCCCTTGGCGCCTAGGGGGCGCCTAACGTTTTTTGCAACATTGCCTGCAAGATATGTATTTTTGTGGGGCTCATTTCCTTTTTTTTTTTTTTTTTTTTTTTGTGGATTTTTTCCTCCCTTTTTCTCTCTCTCCAGTTTTCTCTTTCATTGTCACATCCTAAAAAATTCAACAAAAACTACAACTATTACAGGGCGTTTGGTTGAAAAGAATTTAAATTCCCTTCCCACTTAATTCTCACCTAATTCCAAAGGTCACAAAATTTCCTTGTTTGGTTAAAAGGAATTGCAATTCCCCCATTTACATGGAATTAAAATCCCATGTCGCCCTGAGATTTTAGAAAGAAAAAAAGATACTGATAAGTCAAAATTACCCATTCCTTTTTTAACATAAAATTAATGCCTAACAACAACAATGGACATTTTTTACTTTATATTACTTATTCCCTTTCAATTCCCATGTATACCATGTATACCAAACATTGGAATTGAAATTCCCAATAATTCTATTCCTGTAAACCAAACATTGAAATTTAAATTATCACTTTATTCTTTTTTTGTTGAAAGCTACTGGTTCTATTACATTGTAGTATCTGTTCATATACTTTCTCAACCTACTGAAACACAAAGAACCAATAACGCCTCCACTGAGGCTCGAACTCATAATCTTCCAAATGGAAGTCCAACCCGGATACCATTAGACCACATAGTCCTGGTAAATTATCACTTTATTCATCTCCCCTGAAATTACAATTTAATCGTAATTCCTCATCTCCAACCAAACGCCCTGTTAATGTTGTTCTTATGGTATTTTCTTTCCTCTCTCTCTTCTTTTCTTTTTTTGATTTGTGAGCACTCCTTCATCTCCCTTTATATTTGTTACTAGTAAGTGTCCCGTGCGATGCACAGACTATTATTAATTTAACAAATGAGCAAATTACACTTTTGTTCCTATAATTATCGGGGGCGTGTTAATTTCGCTCCATAACTTTTAAAACTAACAATTTAGTCCTTTAACTATGTTTTTTAGGAGATTTGGTCCTTTCGGCCAAATCACCCGTGAAAATTGGCCGAAAAAACTTAAACATTTAAAAAAAATTTATTCATGAGGGCAAAATAGTCTTTTTAAATTTATCTCTAATCAATTAATGTTAGAAACATAACAGAATTATTACAATGTTAATTCTCAATTATGGATTAACAATTATTAGTCAAATTAATTTTGTGAATTACTCTCCTATCCACTAAAATCTTTTTGCTTATTATTCACTTTGATTTTCTTTTCATATTTATTTAATTATTTATGATGATTATGATTATGATTATGAAAAAATTTTCTTTAATCATTTTGCTTTAATATATATAGAGATAGAAATAAATATTTTTTCCTAATGATTTTACTTTGAAAAATTTTCCATAATCATTTTGCTTTAATATGTATAGAGATAGAGATAGAGATAGAGATAGAGATAGGGATAGAGATAGAGATATAGATTAATTTTGTGAATACAATAAATGTTTTTTTTGGCTATCATTTTGCTTTAATAGAGATAGAGATAGAGATAGAGATTGAGATTGAGATAGAGATAGAGAAAGATTTTAGGAAAAATGACACTTTTTCCCCCTGTGTTATATGCTTATAGCACTTTTTTCCCCTGAGTTATTCATGCATTCACATTTGCCCCCTCAATTATTATAGAAGTGGCGGTTTTTCCCCCTAATAATATTAAATGGACATTTCTACCCTTAAAACAAATATTTTATTTATTTATCTTCTTCAACAAATTATTGCTTATACGTAGGGATGACCACGGTTCGGTTCGAACTAAACCAAACACTATAGCAATCAAATTAAAAAATTTCGGTTATGATTCATAACATAACCCAATATTTGGATTTCCGTTTATTAAAATCGTGAACTGGAAAAAAATGGATCCTGAACCGTGAACTGGAGGTTCAAATCGGAACAACTACTAGCAATAGCTTAAATTAGAATTATAATATTTACAAATAGTGTATGTTTTTTCCGCATTTATAATGACTCCCACATATAAGTATATATAATCGCGGTTTGAGTTTTATTTTGAACCGTCGGTTCACGATTTTGGATCCAATTTGAACGGTTGGTTCAAACTTTCTTTTAAAATTTTATTTTTTTATTTTTAAAATATTCTAAATTCAACACTTAATGTATTTTATTTTTTCAAATCGTGGTTATAATTTGTTGGAGAAGAAAAATAAATAAAATATTTATTTTAAGGGTAAATATGTCCATTTAATATATCAGGGGGAAAAACTGCCACTTAAATAATTTAGGAGAAAAAAATACTATAAGTATATAACAAAGAGGGAAAAAGTACCATTTTCCCAAGATTTTATTTTATGAAAACTAGGGTTTGATATGTTATAGCGCAATTTGTAATTTTACCTCTGCAATAACTTTAGGAACGGTACAAAAAATAGTAATTTTTGCAGGACATTTAAAACTATTCTTTAAATTAATTGTTCGAATACAGATAATGAATTCTAATTTTAATTTGATTATTATTGTTTACTGTCAAATGCCAAACTTAACCAACCATTATAAATTACATCTAGAAAAGAGTTGCCCACATTTCCACCAACCCCAAACTCGTGGCTAAAAATTTGCGATTTTCACACCGAAAAACATACGGACTACTTTTCCAATAGGAATAAGGGTCAAATAGGCCATCCAACTGCACATAATAATTCAATTAGGCCACTGAACCTAAAAAAGCAACAATTAGATCCCTAAACTAATCATTTTTTTTACAATTAGTCTAATTTGTAAGTTTTCTAGGTTGTTAGCAGGTCACCTTAGATTTAAAATATTTTTTTAAATTTAAAATATTTTTTAAAATATTTATTATTTAAAATAATTATTTAAAACTTAAAAAAAAAAAAAAAAAAAGGAAACAGATCGTCTCCGGCCATGGATTCGTCTCCATGGCCGGAGACATCTTCGTCTCCGGCCATGGAGACGAAGAGTCTCTTTGTCTCCACTGCCGGAGACGATGAAGTTATCTCCGTCTCCATGGCCGGAGACGAAGAGTCTCTTCGTCTCCGGCCATGGAGACGAAGATAACTTCTTCGTCTCCGGCCGGCCAGAGACGAAGAGGTCTCCGGCCATGGAGACGAATCCATGGCCAGAGACGAAGAGGTCTCCGGCCATGGAGACGAATCCATGGCCGGAGACGATTTTTTTTTTTTTTTTTTAATTTTAAATTTTAAATAATTACTTTGAATAATAAAATTTTAAAAAATACTTTAAATTTTAAAAAAAATATTTTAAATTAAAAGGTGACCTGCTAGCAACCTAGAAAACTTATAAATTAGACTAATTGCAAGAAAATTGTTAGTTTAGGGATCTAATTGTTGTTTTTTTAGGTTCAGTGGCCTAATTGCATTATTGTGTGCAGTTGGATGGCCTATTTGACCCTTATTCCTTTCCAATAATATGTGAAAGCAATCAGATTCCTCTGTGTATCCAAACACGTTACAACCCCCTTCAGGCATTCACCATTCCGATTCATTCACTCAAATTAAAATTCTTTAATCTCAATTAACGGCGATTAAAATCAATCATTTAGGAGGTGTAGATTCTAAGCGTACACCGAGGTGCACTCAATCAAACCTAGTCACATCACTATAAAATATCTCTAAACAGTTCAGAACACCGCCCGTTTACAACAGAGCTCCTCGGTATTCTCTCCTCCACTGTTCTTTCTCTCCGCGAGTTGAGCGAAGGTAATAACTCCCTCTCTCCATCCACCACTGCTCCATAAATAAGATTTGATTGGCGATAACTTGAATTGATATTAGTTTTTTAGTTTCGTTTCTTTGTTTGATGATTTTAACTTCATAGCGGTCTGTATTTATGCTACACATCTTGAATTACTGTATTTTTTTTGAATCAGATTTGATGAATCGCGTTTTTTTTATTTTATTTTTTTGCATCTTAAGATGAATGCTTATTTCTGTATATGAATCAAACTTTTTGTTTGGTTTGCTTATTGATCTGTTAATAAATGACGTTAATGATTGAATTCATATTGACTATTTATTTTTCAAGTTCTCGCTGTTCAAATTTCTTTCGTATACTTTGAAACACATATGCAACGGTTTTCTGCATTTTCTGTTTATAAATGGGAATATGTATGTGTGTGTAATTATTTATACGATTACGTGCGTGTTATGATCGTTCTTTTCATACGCACTTATTTATGCTTTATTTCAACACTTTTCTAAAACTCAAATGGTACTTTTGCGAGATCATGAATTCATGATAGAATTGTGCATCAATAGAGAAGAAAGTAAAGAAGTAAATTTGAATTAAATCATTGCTAAACTTGGGCATTGAATTGAATAAATTTGAAATCTTAACTACTATGCACACCTTGATGCAATAAGAAAGTTCAATTTATCATTTGCTCCTTTTTTAAAAAAATGATTTTGACAGAGTGGAATGCTGTGCCACTACTCCTTTATGATGTGCTATACTGAGTCTTTGAAGTTACACTTCTATTGGTTGTAATTGCAGTAGTCTACTAGTCTCAATTATTAGTACTTTGAATAATAACATGTTCTGTGAATGAACTTTGATTTTTTCAGGAGTTTGATATAGAACAAAATGGCTGATATTCACCAGCACCTCACTATTGGTCAGAAGTTCAATCTAAGTTCTAGTCTTTCTCAAGATGCTCAAGCATCCTATGGCGGATTGCAAAGACCTGTGTATCATAGGCATTTTGCTTATGGAAACTACTACAATGCAGGACTCAAGTCTTGCCAAGCCTCCCAGGATCTGTCACTGATAACTGCAAATGCTTCACCAGTTTTTGTGCAGGCTCCTGCAGAGAAAGGATTTGCAAGCTTTGCTATTGACTTTCTCATGGGTGGAGTTTCTGCTGCCGTTTCAAAGACTGCAGCTGCCCCTATTGAGCGTGTAAAACTTCTGATTCAAAATCAAGATGAGATGATTAAGGCTGGAAGACTCTCTGAACCTTACAAGGGAATTGGAGATTGTTTTGGTCGAACTATTAAGGATGAAGGAATTGTTTCATTGTGGAGAGGAAACACTGCTAATGTTATCCGTTACTTCCCTACCCAGGTCAGCAATTTTATTCTAGGCTGTAATATGCATTGAATTTAGTGATGGTGTATTACCTAATAATATTTTTCTAATATCTATGTGTAGGCATTGAACTTTGCTTTCAAGGACTACTTCAAGAGGCTCTTCAACTTCAAGAAGGACCGCGATGGCTACTGGAAATGGTTTGCTGGAAACCTTGCCTCTGGTGGTGCTGCTGGTGCTTCCTCTTTACTCTTTGTGTACTCTTTGGATTATGCTCGTACTCGTTTGGCTAATGATGCCAAGGCTGCAAAGGGGGGAGGTGATAGGCAGTTCAATGGTTTGGTTGATGTCTATAGGAAGACACTTGCTTCTGATGGTATTGCTGGACTCTACCGTGGTTTCAACATTTCATGTGTTGGTATCATTGTGTATCGGGGGCTGTATTTTGGATTGTATGACTCCATTAAGCCAGTTATCCTGACGGGAAGTTTGGAGGTTTGTTCTTCTCTAATTCCATATTTTAGGCTGGTTCTCTATTCCACAGTATGTTCTATTTTTGGCATCTGATATTTTTGTCAAATAGAACTTATTTTGCATTATGCGTGGTCAATCCCCTTAGTTGGAGTAATAATCATGCAAACTTTCAGTACTCCATGAGATAGGAAATACCATAAACACATAGCTGTTTGCTTCTCTTTCATGGCCTCGTTAAAGGGTTAGGTTATCTGCTCATCTTATTATTTTTTATTTTTGTAAAACACAATCCCCAATTCAGATTGTTGAACTGTGAGTTGCTTTGGAACTCATAAATGTTTTCTAATTCCTAGTTTGTGGTTCCTACCTTACAAACTGAAGTAAGAAACTTCATATACCAATTCTAATACTTACTAGTACTTGTATTCTTTTACAGGATAGTTTCTTTGCTAGCTTTGCTCTTGGCTGGGTCATTACAAATGGTGCTGGCCTTGCTTCTTACCCAATTGATACAATTCGTAGACGAATGATGATGACATCTGGTGAAGCTGTCAAGTATAAGAGCTCTCTACATGCCTTTTCTCAGATCCTCAAGAATGAGGGTGCCAAATCCCTCTTCAAGGGTGCTGGTGCAAACATCCTCCGTGCTGTTGCCGGTGCTGGTGTGTTAGCAGGATACGATAAGCTTCAGGTCATAGTTTTTGGAAAGAAGTACGGTTCTGGTGGTGCATAAGTTGAAGTGTGGCATCTTGAGATGGTGATGAAAATATTACTACCTACCCATTTTTGAATAACTCATTTTTTGAGGGGGCTTGAGCCCAAAATTTTCTCCAGCCTATTATTGGGGATACTTCATTTTTGCAGACGTAGTGCTGTAGAGATTACAGATTTTAGCAATTTATTTTGGTCTTGCAGTGTAATGCTGCTTTATGTTACATTATAATTTTATATTTATTACATTATAATCTTATATTTATTACATTATTACATTATAATATTATATTTATGCATTTGGTTTTGGATTTTTTGTCCCCTTTCATTTTCCGTTTACAAGATGCTGTTGTTAATCTGTATCTGATCATAGCTACTGCAATTCCTTCAAAGTAGGGGTGTAAATGAGCCGAGCCGCTCACGAGCGGCTCGGTCAACGCTCGGCTCGAGCTCGGTCAAAATTGAGCTCGAGCCGAGCTCGAGCGGCTCGTCAAATAAACGAGCACGAGCCGAGCCTAGATACTCTAGGCTCGTGGCTCGTCGAGCCGTATAATATATGGTATAATATAATTAAAATATATAAAAATAATAATTAATATTTAAAATTTAAAAGTCAAAGCTCAAAACTCAAAAGCCCTAGAATTCTAGCGCCTTCAGAATTTGATATTTTATATTTCGAGTTTCGACTGTCGAGAGAGACTTTGGCAGTTTCTATTCGAGTATTCGTCCACGACTCCACGCCTCCACGGTAGAGAAACTTCGACAGTTGCCGCCGGTGATTCACGACCAGACTTTGGATCCACGACATCGTCGACTCTGTCCACCCCCAGGGTTTCCGTCGCGAGGAAGCTATAATTCTAGGTATTCATACGTTTGCGTTATTGGAACCTTGATATAAAAAGAAGATATAATTCTAGGTATTCATATTTCATACGTTTGCGTTATTGAAACTTTGAATATATTAGTTCATTATGGTATTGATTCAATTTAGCTATATTCCAGTTTAGTTTCTTGGGATTAACTATATTGATTAACTATTGAAGATATAATCCAGTATTCCAGTTTCTTAATTTGTTAAATATATTAGTTTAGTTTGTTATGGAACCTTGAATATATTAGTTCATTATTGTTAAATATATTAGTTTAGTTTGTCATGGAACCTTGAATATATTAGTTCATTATTTATTTCTTATTGAAGATATAATCCATTTACTTGCAGCAATATAATTTTATAATCCAGTTTCTTAATTTGTTAAATATATAATCCAGTTCATTATGGTTATTATATTAGTTTCTTAATTTGTTAAATATATGAAAGTAAGGTACTAGAATATTGGATTAGTTGTTGTTGAATTGAGGTATGATAACTTGATGTCGTAACTGTTTTCCATTAGGCATGTGAGCATGTCTACCGATAATTCATCTGTCCCGCAAAATCCACACACTCTAAATAGTGTGGTTGGTGAAAGCAATGAAACTATTAATCAATCACATGAACAATCTGAAGGAGTTGAAAGAGTAGAATTACATTCAGATGATCATGACACACAACAAAATGAAGAAACACACGAGCAAGAATTTCAAACAAACAAGAGAAAAAAGACTTCAGGTGTGTGGATTGATTTTCATATGGTCGACATAGATGGAGTGCAGAAGGTACAATGTAATCATTGTCATCATCATTTCGCATTAACTAAATCGGGCACAACAACTAGCTACAAGAGGCATCAAGACAAATGCGTTAAGAGAAAGGCACATTTGAAGGTAAGTACTTAAATTTGAAAATAAATTTTTATATAGCTAAATTATTCTATTCATTATTAATAGTTATGGTATTGGTTTTGTACTTTGTACTTTGTAGGTCACCGATCAACAAACAAAGTTAAATTTTATGCCTAGTGATGGAGTTCCATCCTCCCTTCCTCCATTACATCGTGGAAATTTTAATATGGAAAGAATGAGGGAGTGTGCTGCTAATTGGATCATGATGCATGAACATTCGTTTACTATTTTGGAGGAAGCAGGATTTAACCTATTAATGAAAGAAGGATGGCCGGAGTGGAAAAAAATTAGTAGAAATACATGCAAAGCAGATTGTTTGCAGGTTTATGAGATTGAAAAGAAGAAGTTGAAGAACAATCTTGAAAGTGTTAGTAAAGTAAGTTTGACAACAGATTGTTGGAAGTCAAAAAATTAGAAGATTGAGTATATGGTTGTCACTGGACACTGGATTGATTCTTCTTGGAGGTTGCAAAAGAGAGTTTTAAACTTCATTAACATTCCACCACCGAGGGGAGGTCTTCAGCTTTCTGATGCTATATTTGGATGCATGAAAGAGTGGGGAATTGAAAAGAAAGTGTTTACAATTACAGTTGATAATGCTTCAAGTAACGATTCTGCTATTAGGTACATGAAGGATACACTCCAAAGGTCAAGAAGTTTGGTATGTGGGGGACGTTTGTTTCATGTTCGTTGTTGTGCACACATCTTGAACTTGTGTGTTCAAGATGGATTAGATGAGATTTAGAACATCATTAGTGATGTTAGAAATAGTGTGGAATATGTGAACCGGTCGGAATCAAGGCGTATACAATTTGCTAACTGTGTGCAACAATTGCAATTGAAAGATAGGAAATTGATTCGTGATTGTAAAACTAGATGGAACTCAACTTTTGAGATGTTAAGTTGTGCACTCAAGTTCAAAGAAGCTTTCAAGATGCTAAAAGATCGTGATCCTTTCTATGAGAGTTGTCCATTGGAAGATGATTGGGACAAGGTTGTCAAAGTTTGCTCAATTTTAGAGACTTTCTGGACAGCTACTCACATTATTTCAGGTTTGTTTCTTTTAATATATATATTTTTTAATTTAGTTAAGGTTGTGACTTGTGAATTGTGATTATCTGAATTCAAATTTATTTCAGGTTCTGAGTATCCTACTTCAAATTTGTTTCTTCAAGAAGTTCAAAAAATCAAATCAACATTGGATAGTCATGTAGATGATGAAGATGACTTTATTAAGGATTTGGTTAAAAGAATGAAGAAAAAGTTTGATAAATATTGGGGTGAGTGCAATTTGTTGATGGCTATAGGTGCTGTTTTTGATCCAACAAAGAAAATGCTTGCAGTTGAATTCTGTTTCCCTAGACTTTATTCTGATAAGGAAGCTAAGGAGAATATAGCAAAAGTGAAGGAGATCATCAATACTCTTTATGAAGAGTATGTTGCTGAATCAATGAACAAAGATAATCCTGAAAATCTAAGTTCTTCTAACACTTTTAGAAGCCAAGTCAGCCGCCAAAAGTCTACATATGCTTGGGAAGATTTTGAGGGATTTTGTGCCCAAGTTGAAACTTCAGGGCCTAAAAACTCTGAGTTAGTAGACTATCTAGAAAAAGCGCGTCTTAAGACTACTGAGGTTCCAAGCAACTTTTGTTCTTTAGATTGGTGGAAGATGCATAGACTGCAGTATCCAATATTGTCTCGAATGGCAGCAGATATTTTAGCTATACCTGTTAGCAGTGTGGCTTCAGAAGCAACATTTAGTGCGGACAAGGGTAATTGATTCGTATCGTGCATCATTGTTGCCTGAAACAGCCCAAGCTTTACTTTGTGGGGGTGATTGGCTAAGACATATACATGGAGTTACCAAAAACAAAGTAAGTTAACTTTTATGCTAAAAGATACATTATTTTTTTAAAAAATATTTGTTTAATTGTATACTTATTTTTATTTTATTTTTTTTGTAGAAAGAGAAATCATTCCAAGAAATATTTCTTCCGGCATCCAACTCATGAAAGTAAGTTACAAAGTAACATCTTTGTTTAACTATTTTTAATTAATTTCATTTATTATCTAATATTATTCATTTTTTTTTGCAAGTTGAACAGATATTTCCTGTTTTGAACATATCCGGGACGAAATATATATGTACAAGGAATCAAGGACTACTACACTGTTGACTTGTGTTTTGTTGTGATTTGCAAACTTATTTTGAATGTTTTGAAGTTTGAAAAATGTTATTGACTTGTGTCTTCACTATCTTTTACTTCGTTGCAAAATTATTTTGATTGTTTTGATTTGAAGTTTGGATTATTTATGTATGGATAAAACAGAGTAGTTTAAATTTTAAATCAAACAGGTCAAACCGTCAAATTCAAGGTTAAAATCGAGCACGCATTTGAACTCAAACTCGAGCTCGAGTTCGAGCCTGATCTCGAGCTCGAATTCGAGCTCAAAATCACGCTCGAACTCGAGCTCAAGATCGAGTTCGAGCTCGAGCTCGAACAATCGAGCTGCTCGAGCCGAGCTCGAGCAGCTCGATAATTGCCGAGCTCGAGCTCGAGCATCCAGTCACGAGCTCGATCGAGCACGAGCTCGAGCTCGAGCATAGCTTCATTTACCGAGCTCGAGCTCGAGCATACCCATGCTCGAGCTCGGCTCGGCTCGTTTACACCCCTACTTCAAAGTATCTGTTATCCAATCTTTCAGTCTATATTTTCAACTTCTAGTTCTTTGCTTACGTAGTTATGTTATTCCCAAGTTTAAAAATTTGAATCTGCTAGTTATTGATATGGAATGTGTCAAATTGTTGGCAAATTATTATACCATAAGTTACATTTTAAATAAATTGAAGGTAAATTTTTAATACGTTAAGTTATACTTTTAATAAATTGAAGGCTAATCTTTAATATAATATATTGGATTTAAATTAATTTGAAGTTTAATTTTTAATACATTAAGTTATACTTTTAATAAATTGAAGGTCAATCTTTAATATAATATATTGGATTCTTATTTTTTGAAGTTACACAATACATTATTTGTGTAATGATTATTTATTATTTAGTATATCATTAATAGTCTACTATATAATTTGTTGTCTTGAAAAAAAAATGAAAAATGGAAAGCGGAAAACTGATTAATTAAATTATTGAATTAAATAAAAAAATAAAAATGTAAATAGGTCGCCCATTTGTCAATTCTTCGTAATATTTTAATGAGTAATTTTACACGCACTTCTAATTTACTTTCATTTTCAATTCTATAATGTGACATGCATTAATTGCTTAATTTAATAGGGTGTCATGATGTTTATCGGGAAAAAAATCAATGCCCCCACATTAGCATTCAAACCTGAGACCTGTTATTTAAGAAACCACAAAGTTAGAAGTAGATTTTGAAGCGAAACAACAAAGTTAGAAGTAGATTTTGAAGTTTATGTAGTATTTTTCTAATTTAGGCTCCGTTTGCAAAACCCGGAAAATGACTTCTGGAAAATATTTTCCGGAAAATGAATCATTTTCCAGAAAACATTTTAATTTTCGATGTTTGGCTACACAACGAAAAACTGTCCTCGTGTGTTTGCTTCAATTTTCAGAAAATGAGTAGGAAAGTGGTAAGAATTGTATACTTCAACATTTTAATTATTTGATATTTTTGATAAAATCATTTTGTGAATAGCACTCATTAAGCCTTGTAGACAATATATATATATATATATATATATATATATATATATATATATATATATATATATATATATATATATATATATATATATAGATAGATAGATAGATGTGTATTCAAATGGGGACAAGTATATTATAGAGGACTGTGAGGACATATGTAGTGTGTGTCATTAGCCGGTATGTCGTGTGCATGGCCGAATGTAGTCGTGTGCCACAGTTTGTATGTCGCGTGCTAGATTTGTTAATTTATAAAGTCTGGGTTCGAAACTTGATGTTTACATTTATTCTCGTGTGCCATTATGTATTAAGTTGTGAGACTGGTATTAATTTGTTGTGTGCCCATTATTTGTCCTCACAGTCCTCTATATATTGTTGTCATCATTTGAACTCAACCCTATATATATATATATGATTGTTTTGCCCTCATCATAGCTACCGGCGGGTGGTTGACCACTACCAAGGGGTCAGCGCATATAGCTCTGACATGGCACCGCAGTGCTTATAACTTGATCTATGCCTTTAGCAAACTAATCAAGGTTGGTCCATGCCTTCAGCACGATAACAGAATGGTCTGTGCCTTTAGCACAATAACCGGGCACTCATTGTGCCAAACTCCAACAATTCTTTTCCACCAATCACATCCCGTTCACATCAGATACAATCAATCAGTCAACATGCACAACAACGCAGTGGCCACCGCTCAATAACAACAACAATCAATACACGTCAACACGTAGCAAGGGACAGTCAAGGGAAGACACAACAATCACACCAACAAATGACATCAACATAAACACGAATCCCACAAGATACAGTCTAAACTCTACTTCCCAAGATAACGAGACAACCACAAGACACACACGGGATCATACAAATCTCGTCCTAGGTCAACGGGATACTAACTTAACCCACATGCAATAATCACGACTCACAACTCCTAAAACGGTACCCGGAATATCAAACGAGACACATAAACATCAAACGGGGCACAACGGGACACGGGGAAACATGAAACGAGACAAAACAATGCACCACCCCACCCGTACCAGCGGGTGTACGGCGGGTGGTCAACCACCCGCCGGTGAGCGGTACCATGTATCAGCGGGTGGTCGTCCACCCGCCAGCCGCCCGCTAGTACTGTGGTGTGTACTTGGCGGGTCAGTAGGGCTGTTAACGAACCGAACATAAACAAACGGAGGTTGTTCGTGTTTGTTTGTTAAGGAATTTGGAGTGTTCGTGTTCGTTTGTTAAGGTTTTTGAAAATCATTTGTTAAGCGTTCGTTAGTGTTCGTTAACGTTTGCGAACATGTTCACGAACGTGTTCATTAATGTTAACGAACATGTTCACGAACGTGTTTGTTAATGTTCGTGAACACGTTCGCAAACGTGTTCGTTAACATTAACAAACACGTTCACAAACATGTTAATTAACAAGAACGTTCACGAACATATTTATTTACGTAATTACGTTCATGAACACTTAATAAACAAACACCTGCACATGTTCATGATCACAATTCGTTCGTGAACAATAAATAATCTACGTTCACGAACAATAATCAAACAAACAACACAACTACATAACTAATATAATATAATATAATATATATGTTTGTGAACATGTTCGCAAACATTATTAAACGAACACAAACGAGGTTGTTCACGAACATTATTAAACGAACATAAACGAGCTTATTCACGAACATTGGTAAACTAACACAAACGAGCTTGTTCACGATCTCTTAGGAAACGAGCTTAGAACTGTTCAAGCTTTATTCGTTTATTAACCGAGCTCTAAATTTTGTTTGTTAATGTTCGTTTACCTTAACAAACGAACATAAACGAACGCTTACCGAACACGAACACGAGTAGTTTGTCGAAAGCTCTGTTCGCTAGCACCCCTAGGTGGGAGGTCAGGTGGGGGTTCGTCCCCCCCCCCCCCTGGTTGGTACGATGGTATCTTGGCACTTTTCCCACCGAATTCATCCGTTAAACCCAAAACCAAGTCCGATTACATCCCAATACACAACAACAACAATACAAACTTGAACCACAAGAATTAGGCCAAGAAACAAACACAATTAAATCCTAAATACATGCTCCTAAACATCAAGATTCAAGAACCAATTCCTAATCATGCAAGAACGACAAGAATCGCAGGAACACCAAGATTCCATCAAATAAACCCTAATGACAAGCTCTAGACATGCCCAAACGCAAGATCACACATATAATCAAGCACAACATCAAGATTATCAAATAAACACAATATAAACCCTAGGCAAGGCTCTATCAAGACCATGGTTGCAGTAGGCGCTAGGCGCTAGTCGGGCGCCTGGACAATGCCTAGCGCCTAAGCGGTCTAGGCGGCACCTAGGCGGAATCTAGGCGGGCGCCAAAAAAACAGTGGTAGACTTGCAGTTTGACAATTTTAATGAGGTTGTTTTCAACATTTAATCAAATAACACATCCAAATAAATGAATTAATGATAATTCATAAGTCATAACATCAAAACAATGATTTTCAAAAAAAAAAAAAAATATTAAAACAATATTAAAAATTAAAAATACTCAAATATGAAATACTCAAATACTTCAATCATCTAAAGATTCAAAGTATCAAACTAGTTTACGAGTGTATATATGTCATATTATGTATATGTATGCGCACGCGCACACACGCACTCACACAGACACATATATAATAAAAAAATAGGTCGAGCCGATCGAGTTAACTCGACCGAAATTGACGAGTTAACTCGACTAACTTAAATGCTAGGCGGCCAAATCGGCCGAGTTAGGCGCTAGGCGGACGCTTAGGCGGGCGCCTAGGGGAGAAATCGCCACGGTCTAGAAGCGCCTAGACCGATTTTTACAACCCTGATCAAGACTCAATCACAGAATCACACATACAATTATCAAATGAGCCAATAATCAAGATATAGCAAGGAAAATAAGTTTTGTAAGACATGAGTTACCTCTTAGCCTTAATTAATCCTCCCTTCGCTATTAACGTTCTTTACCAAGATTCTCCTCCGATTGGTTTCCCTAGGCTTGGTGGTGGGGAATTCCTTCTGCTAAGCTCCTTGGGCAA